GCCGTCGCCTAGGTCTGCTCACCGAAGTCGGGCCGCGGATAGAGCCCTGGGGGCTGGAAGTCAGCACCCTGTGCGCCGCCGCCGTAGTAGTCGGCTCCCTGCTCGCCTAGGTAGCCGCCCTGCAAATATTCCTCGCAGGGAGGGAACTTGGGGTCCACATACTTGGAGTTCACCATATACGAACTCATGGCCATTAATTTCAGAAGGTAGAAAATACTAATTTTTCTCGTGTTGTCTTTTTTTCTCCTTCCATAGGGCCCTCCTACTTGCTGTCAACTGAATAAAGTTGGCGGCCATGTGACCAGGCCAGCCAATAGCGAGGGAGCGAGTTTATCACCGGGTTGGTGAGCATCTCATAATTTTCACAAATTTAACTAAATAACATACGTGTAATCAAGTGACTCGCTGTGGCACATTCGAGGGCCCTCACGAGATGTTAATATACTTCTAACCCTCAGCACCCTCATCCTCCCGAAAGTAATTCCAGCTTTTGTCTGCCACTGACTTTGCTAATCTCCAGTGCCCTCTCCACTCACCAACCCGCCAGAAAACAGCCCCCCAAAGTGGGCACAGCTCAAAGTGGATTGAATCCGAATATCCGTTGGAGTGTAGGCACCAAAAGGCAGGTGGGTGAGGCAGCTCAGAGTTGGGCAGAATACCCCAGCAGGCAGAGCTCCCGCCAACCCCGCCGGCCGCGGGAAGGGGGACTGCCATACAAAGGCTCAGCCCCGGCTTTGTCTTCCTCAGGGTCACCCAAAAGTTACTACAATCTGGCTGGCCTGAATCCATTTAGGCAATGAGTAACCGCCCAGCTTTCTGTGAGTGCCCGAGCTGGGGTAATTCTAGCCAAAGCCAGGCCTTGCAGGTATGGCGAGAGGTTCCCCCTGCCTCAGCCCGTGAAGCTGAGAGGTGTGCCAGGAAGATGGCGAGGGCACCCCACCCCACCCAAATGGACCCCAAAAGGACCCTGCACTCCTTCTTTCCAGCTCGCCTCCTTCTCACAGGGCACTCAAAGGCCAGTGAGCCGCTCATGGGGCACCCTCCACCCTCATGCCCCTTGAGGGCCGAGCTGGGGCTACCTGGCCTCCCACCGCACTCCCCAGTCCTCCAAAACCTAGCCCTTTGGCTCCAAATTCCTGCAACCAATGAGGTGTTTACACAGGAGCCCCTGTGTAAAGGTGAGGTGCTTCTTGAAGAAAAGGGTGCTCTGTGTCACCAGGCTCAGTTGATCCGCGGATCATCCTGGAGTCCAACGTAATAAAAGAGAAAGAGGTGGTTGACCCGCCCCGCTGTTTCTGGCCTCTCCTTCTGACTCAGGCTATTTTGGAGAAAAGTGAAGTTTTTGCATCGACCATATATTCCCCTAGAATCGAATCTGTGACTATGTGGATACCACACAAATTCGGTTCTACAGGGTATATATAGACAACGTCACTACGTTCACGTTCCACCCAAACTGGGCACCCAGACCGCTGGTAGCCTTGGCTTCTTCCTCGGAGCCACCCCCAGCCCGACACAGCCCCTGGCATTTTCAAAGATGGTTCAGGTAGCCTGAAGGGCTTGGTGGCAATTTGCAGCAATGAGTTAGTTCCCCGTCCTTTTACTAGGGCGGGGGTTACCAAGCAGCCAGGGAGCCAGAACAGTCTTCTTAGGGAAGAAAAAATATTCATCCCAGAAATGGCGGTTTTATTATTCCTCTTTCTCCAAATCCAATATCCCTCCCCCCTTATCAAGTGGTATTTTCCAGAAAGGAGCAAATGCCCTCAGTGACAGAAGAAAGGCAAGAGGGGAATATTCTCCATCCACTATTTTTTTCTACTGCCCTGGCGAGCCAGGTTGGCTGACAAAGCTAGTTCTTCAAGAAGTCGCGCATTTACCTTCCTGGGCCCCGAGCCCGGCTGGCTTCTCCGTCCTGCTGCTGCTGAAGACCCCGAGGCAGGCGCTGCTTGCAGGCACCAAGCTGCCCTGGGCTGGGGCCAGTGCACTAATGGTGAAGGGCAGGGTGAGGGGTCATTCAAAATCATTTACAAACATATCACAAAGTTTCATTATTTTTGCTTTGCCGGCAGCAGCACACAAGAGTACAAAAGTTCACGAATGGCGTGCCTGCCCCAGCGCTTCAGCGCTGTCTGGGGCTCACCCCTCCATGCAGGGCACCAAGAGCACAGACGCGCCCAAGGCCCGGATGAATTTCGGGGGCAGAGGGATGCTCAGGATTGAGTGGGGCTTTGGGATCCCTGACTGTAGGGCAGAGGCATTAACATTTTTTCTTATTGTTTTGTTTTTCCACTCATGTTTCAAAAATTGGTTTTGGCCTGCCCGGGGCAGAGCAGGGAGAGTCCCCTCTGCCCCCCAGCCTGGCAGAATTGGCTGCCTGCTTCCACAATGCACTTTGCTCACTCCCCCCACCCCAATCCGTTGGTTCCAGTGCTTTAGCGATTTTGTAGGGATTTCCTGGTGCCAATTCTAACAAGAGCTCTGAGGCTGCCCCAAGCCTACGTCCCTTGTCCCAGGGAGATTCCCCCCAACTACCCCTAATGCCAAATGCTCCCTCACACTCCCCATCTTGGGGACTCTGGGTCTAGGCTTTATCCAGGCAAACTGGGGGAACCCGCTGGGGCCGGCGGGGAAACAGTGAGGGTACACATTTTCATATTTGTTAGACGCTGTGACCTGCATTTCACCTTATTGCTCGACTTGTTCAGACAGGTCAAAGCCAATGAGTTATTGATGAACAAAAGCGTTAAATATTCACCTCCCGCACCACTGCTCATACAAATGCTTTGATCTCCGTTTTTTTTGTGCTGTGTTTAGCCAGAGGGTGCCAAATGTGGGTTTTCAAGCGAGGAGCATCAGCAGAGATAAGCACCCCAAGAGCCAGGGCAACGGCAAGAAGGGGGCAAGACAAGAGGGTCCTGAGGATGCCAGACTTTCTAGCCTGGAGCCAGAGCCATTTCACTCTAGCCAGCATGGTTGTACAGGGAAACTATGTACTGGGTGAAATCTCCACTTCTCCAGTTAGTGTAATCCCCAGGGAGGGAGCTGACTAGGCTCCCCAGCCTGTAGGGCAAAGAAACCTGGCCCAGAGTCAAGTTCCGGCTTCTCGGACCCTGGAGAGAGGGTGACTCACCAGAGAGGGAGCGTGCCTGGTTCCTACAGCCCTGGCACATTCCATCTCTCATTAAAATAAAACCATCTCCATTTTGCAGTGAGGGAGGGGGCCGCTTTTTCCCCCCTTGACTCTTGAATCACTACCTTGATCCTTGAACCACTACCTTGATCTTAATATGGCAGTCTTCCTGAAACTTCAGGGGACTCCTCAGATATATACCTTTCTTCTGTGGCATATGCAACTCAGAAAGATCCAACTTCTGAGCCCAGGACCCCCAAAATCTATGCCCCCCACCTCACCCCTCCCAGCCATTTTCCAACTGCAGCTACAGAAAATCGGAGGTGGACCAGAAGGGCATATTCCTCCCTCCTTACTCAGCCCATGTCCCCAAACCAGACCCCAAACTGCTGAGACTAGGGCCCCGGGAGGGCTGAGGAGGGACTTCCATCTAAAGCTCAGAATCCGCAGTCCTTCCCAGAAGCTTGCCCACTCAACACAGCGGAAGAGTGGGTTTTTGTTTGTTTGTTTCATCTCTTTTTCTTTCTTCTTTTTATAAAAAACAAGAGGAGGTTGGTCCCGGCGGGACCAGGTTAAGTTGGGCTGGGCTGCTGAGGCAGATCGCGTTGCCTGGGTATTTGGCAGGTTGGTTCTAGCAGAAGGCGATGCTAGCCGCAACTTAATAGGGCGGGCTGCTCATTAGCTGCCAGCTCTGAGCAGAAGCGTCCTCCCGCCGGAGCTGCACCTGTGCGAGCCGGGAAGCCCCGGGAAGGCCGGGAGGTCCAGGGAGGCCCAAGAAGATGTGGGTGAAAGCCCGCGTGGCACGTTCCCTTAGTTAGGTAACTGTGAGGTAGGCCCCCAAAAAATCTTTCCAGGAGCTCAACTTAGAGCCTCCACCTCCAAAGCGAGCTCCCCTCCCCTCGGCAGGCCAGGGGCAGGGCCGTCCTTCCACCCGCCCACTCCCCCGGGCGCGGCCCGGGCCCACCACCTCCCCAGCCAGCAACACCGCCTCTGCGATTCGGAAAAAACGGGAAGGTACTCACAGCGGCGGTCTCTCCTGGTCCCGAACCTGTTGCAGTGAAAACGGGGGTCACTTAAATTCCACAGGACAATAAGGCAGACATCGATGACACACAGGAAAATGACAAGGCCCAGACACCCCACCAATACCCAGACCTCCCCGCTTCGGCTGCCCGCCCCCAGGAACTGCGCCAAGTACTCCGCGGAGCGCAGACCGCAGTCCCCAAGGGCAGATCCACGGAGTAGGAGAGTATGGCCCACATCACCTCCCGCTTCCATGCACCCTTGGGCAAAACCTGACTGGTTGTTTGGCCTGACTCGGGCTGCTTGTAACAGGGTTTCCCCAGTGGGAACATGGGAAGCGAGGAGAAAATGGGCCTTTGTGTGTTTCCTTATGCAGAATAGGCTGGGTGGGCGCAGGTCCACTGGGGAGGGGGCAGTCGCTGCATCTGTCCCCCGCTTCCAGTCTGTCTGGTGCTGAGAGCAATTCAGCCCCCTTTTCCAGTTTCAGACTGGTTCTCAAACTCCCAAACTAGTACCCCCCAAACTAGTATCCCCCAAACCTGTCTTCTCCTTCCCAAAGAAGGACCAGGCAATACTGGGACTTGCCTTCCCACTTATGCTCCAATTCAAAACAAAGAGCAATTTCCAAGGGAGATGAAGACCCAAATGATAACCCAGGAGGAGAAAATCAGTGGGTTTCAAAGTAAATGGCAATGCTTTAGATTGTCATCCAGCTCTATGGATGTGGCATCATTTTGTCAGCACTGCTGCTGGAGAACCCACTAAGCAATCTTACAAAGCAGTGGTCCTCACAGAGACTGGTGTCCAGCTTTTTAAGTTTTCAGTCTCAAGTCCTATTCTAGGCTGGCAATCTCCTCTGAGAAATCTGAGCATCAGACCATCTCCATGCTCATCCTGTCCACCTAGACTACCACTGTCTTATTCCACTTCTAAAGCAGATGCTCTACATAGAGAAGAGAGAGACAGTGAGACCCTCTTGTGAAGTGGGAACTCTCAATTCCCAACTTTCTGTGTCCAGAGGGAGGGGAGAAAACAGGGATCACCCTTCTATTTGTTATTTTAGGTTTAGGCTAAAATTAGAAATTACTTTAATGGGACTTCTTCCCACCCCAGGTGGAAAAGAGAGGCAGAGAAATCCCCCACCCGTGGAACTGTTCTGGAAAAAGTAGTAAATGACTTACTGGTTCTCTCTCCTAGTGGGCAGGGAGCTGAGAGTAGAACGGCCTCCTTCTGAGCCCGGCGCTAGCTGGAGCCTCTCACTTTCCTATCGCTGCTCCAGGAACCAAGCATCTGCACTTGTATGCTCTTAACCTAATTTATGGTGGGAATTATATTTTGGCTTGTCAACTCTCAAGCCATAAAACAAAGTTTATTGGAATCACGTGCTCGTAAATAGCCATTCAGGTCCCATCTCTGCAGAACCATAAATAACCTTTGGCTTTAAACTTTTATTCACTAAATAAAGGTTCACTGCAACTGTTCCCTCACATTTAAATAGTTCCAAATATCCAGAATGCACAGGGGTCAGATTCATATCAATACCCCAGGCTTTTCAAATAGCATCTTTTCAGAGAAGTCCGTTTAAGTTGGGAGATAGTACTATTTGGAAAAGGCTGGTTGGTGGGCATGTCTTATGATTCTTTGGCTGCATTCGCTGTGAGTACCTTCAACTCCTTTATTTCAATCATTGTCTAGCTCTAGATGTGGTAAATAAATAAAGAGAAAAGTCAAAGGCCACTTTTTTAACTTGCTTATACCAGAAATTATTTGAGATTTTGTTCAAGCTTCAATAGTAAAAAGGGTGTTTTGGAGAAGTTGGGTGGGCTTGGGGGTGGGTGGCAGCTGGAGTTAACACTTGGTTCTGTATTGTTGTGGATGGGCTCAGCAAAGTCTAAGGTAGTCACATGCCTAGAAGTTTCTATAATCTGCTTAGATCTGAAAGGAAAGCCTTTGCAAGTGACCAAACTGCTTAAAACAGCAAGACTTGGGGTTTGGTAAAGTGCGAAAGTAGAGAATAGCTCCATCGGAATCTTTGGCAACTAAAGCTCTAAAGAAGGTTATAAAACAATAAAACAGCCCTGGTGTGAAGGGGAGAGGGTGTGAGGAAGCAAATGAGGCTCTCAAGGAACCCAAGCCCAGGAAGTCAGATGCCCCCACTCCCCCAGTGCCCCAATCACAGGGCTCAGTCCGGGGCCCAAACCTGGATGGGTCATCTCCCCCCAACTCCTGAACTGCCACTCCCACCAGAGAGGGAGAGAGCCTAAGAGAGCTGGGGGGAGTGTGCTCTCCTGCTGAGAAAGCCAAGAAAAGGAGTTGGGCCTGAGGGCTGCTCTACTGGAGAGTGTGACATTCTATGCTTGGGGGAGGTGGGGTGGGAAAGAGGCCCCCAGCTCCCAGCAACAGAAGTAAATACAAAGAACTGATCCCCAGCATTTTTCCATAGCCTTCCAGAGTGCCCCCAGTGTGAAAACATGTGTGATTTTTACAATTCTGATGAAAAGAATGGATATTCTGTGTAGATTTGTAGAGTACATACACATATATAATTTCTAAGTCAAATTCAGTTGCAAAAGTTCTCATTAGCAAGTCCCATCAAGTGCATAAAAGAGATCCCTCTCTACAAAGATCACTTTGCATTCTAATTTCCACCCATTCTACATGCATTTCAAAACCCATTTCCTGATTTGACTTTCACTGGCTAGAAAGCAGGGGGTGGGGCTGTGAGCCTAGACTGTATAATACGCACCCACTTCTCCTCCCCCCACCATTAACTACTTAGAAGGATCTTTTCTTTTACAATTGGTAGGATCTGTTTTTAAAGTGCGTAAAGATCAACCTCTTAAAAAATGGTTTCTGATTCTGTTAGTACTAAGTGACCAGCTTCAAACATAGTCCCTGCTAAACCACTCTATAAAAATAATCAAAGTTGGAAGCATAGGAAAGCTTTTTCATTTTTCCTTGAGTTAATAAACAGAATTAAACAAAGGATGTATGACTTTCTAGGCATTTGTGATGAACTTTCTATAGGGGTGGGAGGTGGTGTTTGAAACAATGCCTGGCTAGTTGCAGTTTAGTAGATTTTTTTTTTAATGTATGATGATGAAAGATGGTAATTGGGACTTGCTTGTAATCTTCACTGTGGCATACAGAAGATGAATAAAATTAAACAGCCTGCTCTGTATATTCAGATGACAGTAACTAGCTATGCATAGGGGAAGGGAAGAGAGGAAGACAGTGAAGCAGACACCTTTGATTACTTTTCTAATCTTAGAAGAGTCAGAAAACATGATTAAGGAGAAAGAGTCCACCTTCCTACAATATTCCTTTGTCCTCCCCTCCCACAACCCCCAGCCCTGGGCTTCTCGAGATGAATGAGAGAGTGGGGATGAGGAAGAGCAAACTCTGTCTAGTAAGAACTTTGAGCACCAGGAGGGGACAGCAAACTATCTTGGGCTAATTTGTTGAGGTTTGCCCAAGGACTTTCAATGGTGGTGATAGTGATGATGAAAGAGAAGGTAGGGGAGGAAAAGTTGAAGTTTTCGTAAAGACCTGTAAGGAATTTGTTTCTGGGTAAAGTGAGGCTGTAGACACTGTCCCTCCCCATTTGGCTAGAAAGATCCAGTTCTGAATTCCTCCCAGAGAACTCCCATAAGGTAGAGTCCCTATAGGGCTCCTCCCAACCGAGAAGCCAGAACAGCTCCCAGGAAGGAGGATGCACCAGCTACACTCCAAATGTAATGAGGTCTGTCTTCTGCCCCCCTAAGAGCCCCTCCTATGTGGCCCCAGGAAAGAGTATTCTGATCTTGACTTTTAAGAGGTTTCTTGCCCAGAGGTGATATTAAGCTCTCCCCTTAAACGAAACATCTGCACAAGCAGATTAGGTATAGTTGAGACTTTGGATGAACTCTCTGGGCCAGGGACAGAAGGAGAAAGACCTGGGCCCTTAGGGACATGCTGGGGGTGGAGCCAAAGAAGGGCTGATCAGGGAGTCCCAGTGCAGGAGGGAAATATGATCCCATATTCTTGGCACTGTGCTGTACCACTGAAAGAGGAACATACTCTGGCCACCCTACTCTTACCCCCTACAATGGAATTCATGCATTGGAGCTTTGCCTTGGTGTTCTCTGGGAAGAAAGGTAACTGCAGAAGAAAACTTCAATAGTGAGAGATGAGAG